AAATTTTAAACCAAATCAATTCATATTTTTAACAGACGATTTTAATGTAAATTCCATGACACTAAATAATTCACACAGATTTTCTAGTCTTCTAGCATCTTATGGTTTGTCACCCAGGAACTTTACACCTACAAGGTCGACTTCCACATGCGAAAATATTTTAGATCAGGTATATACAAATTGTGATGATTGTGTAGGTACTGTAAATGTAAATACTGAATCGGATCACGATATATTCCTTTTAAGATTGAATTTTATTAATCCAACTATGACAACAGTTCGAAATACTTTCAGAGTAACACATGAAGGCGCTATAGATGCATTCAACAATCTCTTGAGTAAAGAAACATGGCAAGATGTTTATCATGCAACTGATGTTGAGAGTAAATATAATGCCTTTCATGATAAATTACAGTTCTATTTCAATATTAGTTGTCCTATTAGAGAAACCAAACATTACCAAAACAAAAAAAAATACATGGGTCACCCAAGAAGTAAAATCTTCTTCAGATAGTCTAAAGGATTTGTATATATTGAGTAAGACTTACTCTGAGCTAAAAACTCTACATAGACAAAAAAAATATCAGCACAAAATTCTTGTTGATGCCACAGAGGGTCAGTTTTATTTTAACAAAATCTCTGAATCCTCTAACAAAAACAAAACCACATGGGCTGTTATAAATGAACTTAATGGAAAACAAAAAAATCACAAAAATATCTGTCTAAATATAGATGATACTAGGATTACAGATTCAGATATAATATTAAACAAATTTAATGATTACTTTATAGATGCACCAGTGGATATAATTAGTAAAATAATTAAACCAAATTTAAATTTTCAGCATTCTAATGATTTTGTTCAAAGTAGTTTGTTCCTATCTTATGTAACAGAGGAAGATGTCTTAGATATAATAAAATATAAAATAAAAACAAAGCATCGTGTGGTTTTGATGAAATATCAGGTATAGTAATTAAGAAAATTGCGTCTCAAATTTTGACACCACTGGCTAATATTATAAATGCTTCTTTCAATACTTGTGTTTTTCCCAATATACTGAAAACTTCTATCATTTCACCGGTATTAAAACAAGGTAATCCTGAATTAATGTCAAATTTTCGACCATTGTCTGTTCCATCTGTGATATCTAAGATTATTGAATATACAATGCTAAAACAACTTTTATAATTTTTAGACATCAACCAAATTATCACAAAGCATCAACATGGATTTCGAAATAAATTTTCTACTTCCACGGCCATTAACAGTTTTTATGAGAAAGTCTTACTCTCAATTGAGAACAGTGAAAATCCAACTGCCATTTTTTGTGATCTCAGTCGTGCATTTGATTGTGTGCAACACGATGTGCTCCTCGATAGATTGTACAGATATGGTGTTAGAGGAGTTGCCCATAGTTGGTTTGGTTCCTATCTGAAAGACCGGCACCAAATAGTTATAGTGAAAAATAACTTCAAGATTTCAATGTCTGATCCGATTATTAATAAGAATGGAGTACCACAGTTCTCAATATTGGGCCCTATATTATTTATTTTGTATATTAATGAACTACCACATGTAATGCCTGATGCATTTGTATCAGTTTATGCGGATGACTCAACAATGCTATATCGCGATAAAGACATAAATGTGACATGTGACTTAAATATATATGTATTATAGGAACAAGTATAACACAATCCTGTATGCAAAAGATTATCTGCAGGTGGGTTGGTGTCTTCTGATTGTTTCACCGTTATATCTGAGATAATTTGTACTTTTCGAGATAATCGCATTTTATAAGTCAGCTGCATAATCATTCTTAGTTGTGATAATTTTGCGGTAAAGCACTGAATACCTGTAAATAAGCATAATTATTAGTTTGTTCTTATTAAAACAACTCAAATATGATAATGTAATATCCCGAAATGCTTTGTTATGATTGCTAAATGTCGTATTGGGGGAGAAGCTTCTATCTTCTTCTTTGAGTGCCGTGTTTGTATTTAGAAGTTGGCCGTCATCATATTTACAATTTCCCTTATACATCGCTTTTATAAGTTTCTATGCTGGTGGTGTATTACTTTTTCTTTATTGTAAAATCCTGAGCTAAGCGTCACGGAAGAAGCGCTACGAGACGGTGTCACGTTTAACGTTAGTTGTCAATAAATTTCTTTCAAACTATAATTAAATTGTATTTTTTAACGTCTTATTTATTTTATATAATAATTAAATTTACTATCAAATTAATGATCGAATATCAAATTTATATTTTAATAATAATATAATATATTAAGTCTCACTTTCACGGATCTGTATTTTGTTGATAACAGGTGGCGCTACTAGCAAACTTAATTTATTAAATTATTTTAATATAATATAATTTGTTTAAAATAAAATAATAAATAAATAATAAAGTTACTTTATTATATGTTAAAAATATTATTTAAAAAATATAGGAAACATGATATGAAGCTAAGTGCTAGTCTACAGTGTCAGTTATTGTACCTACCACGTTTTTTAAGGCAGTTTTGATGCCAGTAGACAAACCCAATGGATTACGGGAAATTTTATAGTAGACTGATGTCACGAATGCTTTTGACAACTAAAAATAAGGCTTGTTTTGTTTAATCAGTGATTTTTGCAATATCTAATCTATTTTGGTTTCTTAAAGAAAAGCAGAAAATGCATAATAATTTTTCTAACATGGATATGAGAGACATGGTTGCTATTTATTGTCAGCAACACTTTAACGGACGACCAGCGAAAAGGGAATATTTAAGAAGATACCCAAACAGGCTGCAACCCAATCATCAAACATTTAAACATCTATTTCGAAATTTAGGCGAAAGTGGTTCATATCGTTCTAAACGAGACAACTTAGGTCGATCAAAAATCTTTACACCTGATCAAGAAAATGAAGTAATAGTTCGCGTTGACGATAATTCTCAAGTAAGTACACGACGTTTATCTTCAGCGTTAGGAATCAACAAAACTTCAGTTTTAAAAATCCTGCACCGTGAGCATTTTCACCCTTACCATTTTACACCTATGCAAAATCTATTACCAGCAGATTTACCTTTAAGATGCAGATTTGCAAATGATATCCGAAACAGGCAAAATCTTGACAACTCTTTCGTCGATAGAATTTTATTTACGAACGAAGCTACATTCACACGCCACGGTATTTTTAATTTAAGGAACAATCATTACTGGGATACTAAAAGTCCCCACGTTAAGAGAGAAAGGCATTTCCAACATGAATTTAAAAACGTAGGGTGTGGAATCATTGGTAATCATTTTTTAGGGCCACGCGAGTTACCTCGTAATTTGAATGGTGAGAACTATTTACATTTTTTACAAAATGAGTTTACTGATTTGTTGGATGACTTGCCATGAAACTTAAGGCAAAATATGTGGTTTATGCAAGATGGTGCACCATCACATTATACAAGGGCAGTGAGAACATACTTGAATACCAACTTTCCGGAACGTTGGATTGGTCGTGGTAGTCATTTTCCTTGGTCACCACGTAGCCCAGAATTTATTCCGCTAGATTTTGGTATATGGGGCGCAATGAAACAATGTGTCTACAAGAATCCCATAAACACTCGCAACCAACTTTGGGAAGAAATAAATACTGCAGCAGTTTCTATTGAACCGATGATGCTATTTAATATGAGACGATCTTTTATGGAACAGATTGATAAATGTATTGAGGAAAATGGTGGACATATCGAACACTTACTTTGACAAAGAGTTTAATCTTAATTTATTTAACTATTTCTTAATTTAGTTTGAGAAATAAAATGTTTATGACTTTAATTTAATATAAAACGTAAAATGTTTGATGGCAAATACAAGTATCCTATTATTTTGTCAAATCATATTATTAATTATCCTGTTGATATATTTATTTTATTTAATATTTCGTTAGCTAATAACTTTATTCAAAAAATTGTATACCAAAATTCAGAAGTATTAATGTTTTTTTCTATTTTTCTTTCGTTGCCTGGATTAATTGCGGTAAATCAGAATTATGCAGTTGATTTGTAAAATGCGATTATCTCGAAAACTGTTGAGTTTTAAAGTTATTAACAGGTATACCTTTTTTATGTTAAAATAATGTATCTTTAATATTTTTTGTCAAAAATATCGATAACTTAAAGGGCAAAAAAGTTAGGTGCAAATTTATGCCACATATGTGGCAGATGTGGCGCCCTCTATCAGCTACATCAAAGTGTGCATCAAATTATAATTTCTTATACTCAATAGTATCCAGTTGTAAATTTTTATACATAAATGTTAACAAACATAAAAGTTATAGCGAAAAATAAAATTTTAAATTTCCACTTTAACACCCTGTATATTTCTTAATATCAACATTTTACTTAAGCAAGTTGACTTAAATCATAATATTTTATAATTCAGAATCTATGGTGTCTTTCTGTACAATTACTTAAGGACCACCCTGTATACTGTAACATTTCTTTTTCAGAAATATAAAAACCATCCAGAAGCTAGAGTACTTTGGGCATGTAATGAAAGGTCCCAAATATAGGTTTCTACAAAATATTATGCAAGGAAAAATGGGAAAAAAACGAAGAAAGACTTCTTGGTTGAAGAACTTAAAATATTGGTATAATATTGATACAAGCATGCTATTTAGGGTAGCAGTAAATAAAATTAAGGTAGCTAACCAACGTCTGAAAGAATATGGTACTTAAAGAAGAAGAAAGTAAACAGACACAACAATTCTAAAGAGAGCTGAAATAACATGATGATTGGTTTCTATTATTAAATATTTTTAGAACTTAGATCAAAGCAAAAATGTAGTTTTAATGTATGTGAAATGTATGTTTAAATTCAGAAATTGTAGTTTTTTTTTATGAAAAACCTTTGTGGACATTCTTTATATTAACCAACATAAAATAATATTATCATTTATTTGAATAAAATAATAAAACAATACAATGAAATAAAATAAAAATAACCAACAATTTTTTTATACATACTCTACGGCAGCATTTGATACAGCGACTGCTGCTTTAACTTCCTTTTGTAGCATTAATATTTTTATTAAAAGCTCGAAACAGAATTCGTGACTTCCGGCTTGGACAGCTTTCTGAGCGTATTCTTGAGCTTTGTTGATGTCTCCTAATTTAAGCAAGCATTGTCCTAAAACAAAACACTAAGTTAATTATGCTTGAATATTGGGAGATACTAACTTTAACAAATATTTTTGTAAATTTTTTTTCTTCTGTATTTCCTTTTGTTCCATATATTCTTTTTAGGTTCTAATATTTTAATCTGCCGTAAAAGTTTTATGTTTCATATTATTCATATTTTTTGCTATTTGGTTGTTCTCGTGTAAACTTTAGTATAAGTATTATTAGACTATCTATATTCTTGTTATTGTTTCTATTGATTTACTTTCTAGATTCTGGAAAAAATGTACCTACTGCTACCATCATTATTATGGCTTTACAACCCCATGTGGGTCCTAGTCTCCTTAAGAATTTCTCTCCAGTAATCCCTATCCATCGCCTTTTTCCCCCAAGCACGCATTTCCACATTTCTCACGTCTTCATCGATGTTAAAGGAATCTTGTTCTGGTCTTTCTCTTCTTACCTGACCAATGGATCTATCAAGGAGCGTTTTTCTAGCTGGGTCATTTTGTTTCATCCACCTATCCACCTCTTACGTCCCATCTTAAATATGTTTTACGATATCTGGTTCCTGATATAACATCTTACAAACAAATCTACCCAATTAGCAGCATACGCAGATGACATAAACATAATGAGCAGAACAAAGACTGCGGTAGAGAAACCTACGTTCAGTTGAAACAGAGTTCAGAAGTTGTAGGGCTAACAATAAATACAAATAAAACAAAACTACTCATAAAAACCAGATCAAATAGACAGGCGCAACAACAACAATTTATAGACGATATAGAATACGTGAATAGATTCACGTATTTAGGAATGGATCTGGTCGAAAATAATGAAGAAGAACCGGAAATAAATAGAAGGCTTATGCTGGCAAACAAAGCCTATTTCGCGATGGGCCACATATTTAAATCGCGAGACGTACACCGGAAAACAAAACTCCGGGTATATAAAACAATAATCCGACCCATAGTAAGTTATGGGTGTGAAACATGGGTTATAACCCAGAAATCTACCAATGCATTAGACGTGTTCGAAAGAAAAATATTGCGTAGAATACTGGGTCCAATAAAGGAAAATAACAACTGGCGACTTAAATATAATAACGAAATATACGAACAATACACTGAACCAACACTAGCACAATACACTAGACTGCAGAGATTACGATGGGCAGGGCATGTGGCCCGCATGCATGAGAACAGAATCCCCAGAAAATTACTAAACGCAAGAATGCAAGGAAAAAGGCTTGTTGGAAGACCAAAAAAGAGATGGGAAGACGAGGTAGATGAGGATGCCAAAAATCTCCTAAAAACGCGTTCATGGAAAAGAACAGCAGTAAATAGAGATGTTTGGAGAGGTTTAATGAAGGAGGCCAAGGCCCGGCTTGGGCTGTAGTGCCATTGGGTGGATGGTTCCTGATATATTCTATTAACTTGTATCGTCTTCTCCAAAATTTATTGATATTCACTTCTTCATAGATTCACCTAAGTACTTTTCTTGAAATAAGAAAATATGAAATATAAGAAATAATTCTAAGAAATAATGCCAAAAGAATGGAGTGGCTGTATTATCGTGCCAATACATAAAAAAGGCAGAAAGGATACATGTGGCAACTACAGGGGAATCTCACTAATCGGTACTACATATAAGATATTAGCTTCAGTTGTACTAAAACGATTACTGCCATATACAGAGGAAATTATTGGCGATTACCAATGCGGCTTTAGGCCTGGAAGATCAACAATCGACCAAATATTTACTATCAGACAAATGCTAGAAAAGTATTGGGAATATAATAAAGAAGTACACCAGATCTTCATAGATTTCAAACAAGCATATGATTCCATAGATCGCTTAAAACTGTGGAGTGCAATGATGGAGTTAGGCGTACCAAAGAAACTGACCATGATTGCGCGAATGTGTGTCAACAATTCCTTTGCACAAATTAGAATCTTCTTCTTCTTAAGGTGCCGTGCATTTCTGCGTAGGCGTCCACCGTACATCGTCTCGTCAGGTGAGATGTTAAATAATCTGGTTTAAATAATTCTGTTTTTAGCAGCATTGCGAAGCATTTCATAGCTGTGGATTCCTGTCCATTGTCGAATATTGCGCAGCCATGACATTTTTTTTACGTCCGAGACCTCTCCTACCCTCTATCTTCCCTTCGAGTATCAGTTGCTGAAAAGTGTATCGTTCTCCTCGTATAATGTGCCCCAAGTATGCAGTCTTCTTACTTTTTACATAATTAAAAAGTTCCCTATCCTGTAAGCCCGCTCTTCTGAGTACTTCCTCATTTCTGACCCTGTCCGTCCATGATATTCTGAGCATTCGACGCAGGCACCACATTTCAAACACTTCAAGTTTGTTAATGGAACTGGCCTTTAACGTCCATGCTTCCATTCCGTACAGCAGAACAGGCCACACGTAACACTTAAGCATCTTGTACCGGAGATTGAAGTCCAATTTGCGATCAGTCAGAAACTTACGAAGCCTCAAAAAAGCATTTCTGGCTTGTTCAACTCTGCTCTTTATTTCATTCTCGGGGTCCCAACCCTCATTCAGCAAACATCCCAAGTATTTGAATTGCCTGACTTGTTCGATTTCTTCTCCAGAAACATATATCTTTGCGTTGGGGTAATCATTTCTACTTATAATCATTGATTTTGTCTTCTTGATATTTATTTTCAAACCCCGAGCTTCACTTGCAAGAGTTAGATCATTTAAAAGACATTGAAGATCTTCGATGTTATCTGCCACTATGGCTGTATCATCGGCATACCTGATGTTATTAATAAATATGCCGTTAACTTTAATACCCTTATTAGAGTCTTCCACTGCTTCTGCGAAGGCTTTTTCTACGTATAAATTGAACAGCATTGGGGACAGTATACAACCTTGCCTTACTCCTTTTTTAATGGAGAAATCTTCTGTTTCGTTGAAATTTTGAAGACGAACTGTTGCTGTCTGATTCCAATACAGATTGGCGATGATTCTTATATCCTTTGCATCCAATCCCAACTCTTGTAGGTATTTTATCATCAATTCATGTTTTACATTATCGAATGCTTTCTCGTAATCGATGAAACAGATAAAAACATCCTTTCTTTGATCTAAACAATTCTGTATCAATGTTTGCATACTAAAGATCGCTTCTCTCGTGCCAAGTCCATTTTTGAAACCAAACTGACTCCATCCACTGACCTCTTCACATTTCTTAAACAATCTAGTGTGAAGTATTCTCAGGAAAAGTTTTAAAAAGTGACTCATTAGGCTTATTAGTCGGTGGTCCTTGCAGAAGTTCGCACGTGGTGTTTTTGGTAGGGCAATAAATGTAGATCGAAGCCAATCTTTTGGAATCTGGCCCGTATCGTAGATGTCGTTAAAGAGCTTGACAATAATGTCTAGGTTTTCTTCATTAAGTAACTTGATTGTTTCTGCGTACATATCATCTGGTCCTGGAGTTTTGTTACTTTTTAATAGTTTGATAGCGTGTACAATTTCATCTTTCAAAATACTTGGGCCATACAAATGGTCTCCCAGTTGTGGTGGTTTTTGTGTTCTGTCATCATTGAACAAATTGGCTGTGTACATTTTCCAAGTATTAAGTATATCGCTAGGGTCCGTTATTAATTCATTTTGGTCATTATGTATACCAGTGACTTGTTTTTTCTTGAAGACACCAGCAATTTCCTTAATTTTCTTGTGAAGATTGAAGCTGTCGCCAAGTTTATATAGGCTTTCAGCCTCGGCGCAAAGTGTAGTCATCCAGATCTCCTTCGCCGCTATAATTTCTTTACGAATTTGACTATGTATATTTCGGTACCCTACTTCGTCCTGCCTGATCTTACACTTCCTGCGTTGTTCCATCATCTCTAATATTTCTTCTGTCATCCACTCATTCTTGGTAGTTGTTTTACTCTCGAGTAGAAAAGTGTTGTTCAACTCATCAAATGATTCTTTTATGGTGGTCCATGACTTTTCAACATCATTCTCAGTTGCCATATTAGAGAACCTATTGTTTATTTCCCTTGTGTACGCTTCATTTGTTTCATTGTTTTTGAGTTTTCTAATGTTTACTGATGCCTTCTGGTGTTTTCTTTTAGCTGTAGCGAGCCTCAGTTTGATATTTGCTACTAAGGGATTGTGGTCGGATCCTATGTCTGCTCCAGGTAATGCAGATACCTTAGTAATAGCATTCCTGTACCTTCTATTAATTGTCACATAATCTATTTGGTTCCTTATAATGCCCTGATGTCGGTCTAAAGGCGACTTCCATGTGTAAAGCCTCCTGGGTGGTAACTTATACCAAGTATTCGTTATGACTAGATCTTTGTCTTGACAGTACTGTATCAATCTGTCCCCTCTGTCGTTTCTCTGACCAAGACCATATTTTCCAACTACGTGATCTACAGCTCCTTCCCCAACTTTTGCGTTGAAGTCTCCTAATACGATGTTAATTTCGTGATTCTTAGTCACCTTTAAGGCTTCGTCTAGCTGTTGATAAAATCGCTCTAGTTCTTCTTCTGGCTTGTCTGCTGTAGGGGCGTAGACTTGTATAATATTTATGTTAACTTTTCCATGCAACTGAATAAGTATGACTCTTTCGGAGATCGGGACAAAGTTCTTCACGGAGGCGCGCAAATTTTCGCCTATCAGAACTCCCACCCCATGTCTGTGGTGAGGGTCTGTGCTATCACTGCATGAGTAGTAAAGGGTTTTACCAGTAGTATTGATCATGCCTGTGCCTTCCCATCGCAATTCGCTTATGCCGAGAATATCGATGTTAATTCTGTTCATTTCCTGAATTAGATTTTGTAGTTTGCCTGCTGCAAATAGGCTTCTGACATTCCACGTAGCAATTTTGATTGTCTTATCAAGTTGAAACCGGGAGATTCTTCGCACCCCTTGACCATTTAAGGCCTGCCCGGGACTAGGGGCCGTTTGTTTTGTTTCTTCCAACATGACAAGAAAAAATCTACGGACGGATGTCCTGAGGAATATAATGCGGTAGTTTCCTACTTGCTTTCCGCATCGCAGTACCGTAGCCCTCTAACTGTTTCAGTCTCACCTACGGTATTCTAGTAAGAAGCCGGTTTAGGATCATTTCCTTTACGCCTAATTCTAGTACTGGTGATCGCTGCTGCCCTTCACCAGGTTGATTCTATACTATCCCTAGAAACAGGGTTGCCACTTCCGTTGAATTCACTGAACCAAATACTATATTCTCCACCTTCATCATCGTTGTGGTCTTCACCCGTATCCCTGGGCAAGGGGGCCGTGTTATACCCCACGGAACTGGGTCCCTATCTGAACTTAGCCATCTACTAGCTCCGGTCTACTGAAGCAAGAGATGCCCACCCCCGCGACATGGACGCGCCAGACAGGAATTACTCATATGAGCG